CCAACATGACCGCTTCTTGCGGTCATCAAAAAACCACCAGCGGCGACATCTTCGTATCACCTCGCCGTGGTGCCTGCCACTGGAATGTGCTACCGGTTGAAGAACTTCCTGCGTGGATCATATGCCGCGGAAAACCCTTAATGCTATAATCCGTATAACTTCCAAAACGAGTTGTTGCCTCCCGATTCAACTTTTTCAGCACGGAACTACCCCCCCCCCGCACCCCTTTCCCATTATATTCCATTTTAAGTAAAATGTAGTCCCTAGGGGGGGGACGCCTACTACTACTACTACTACTTCTTCTTCATCAAGTATGAGCAGTTGCATGCAGCTTTGCCCAGAGCGCTGGGTGCAAGACCACGAAACAGCCCTAGATCCTATCCCCAAAACCTTCTTCAGCCCTAGCCACGCATCCACTCCTCCCTCACGAAAGGAGGTAGGCCTCGCGTTCCTCGCGGGCTTCCTGGCGCTGTTGGCCCTGGGCAGCCTGGCGCACCGTCTCTGGCGGCCGGGAACCGGGCAGGCCAGTCAATAGGGTATGTCTTGGGTCTATAGTAGGGAATAAGGGAATATGTCATATCCAGATTACATGAGGATTATATTCCTAGGTTCTCAAACTTGTGCAATAAGTAGTTAGTTGGACGTAAATGGGTAGTTTGGAATCTGGCAACGGTGATTTTACGAAAGGTTTTGAGGAAATACAGGGAGTGAGAAATAGTTCTACAAGGGAATCTGCAGTCCCCAGTACAGAGTAAGATTTGATCCTCATTCTGTGTTTCAATGGAATTGTTCAGTAATCAAGAACACTACTCGTATAGGAGCCCCCATAATATCCCTTTATAATTCCCATCCATCCCTGTGGCCCACATGGCCATCTATGGCCCCCCTGTTGATTGAAACCTGCCACATAAGAACACCCTCAAGTTATGATTCCAGGGCTTGTTCAGGAGGATATGCAGGTCCTATGAGGTCGTGGTGGTAGGAGTTCTCTTTTTTGTTAAAGCAGTGTTCTGGGCGTATGGCAATCAATGATGCAATGCTACAAGTAGCAGCACCGGAAGATTGTCATCACCATGTGACAAGGAGAGACTGAAAGCAGCAACAAAGATTCTAAGATAGATTCCTGGCACAGGTCTTGGTCGCAGACGCAGAGCAGGCCCCGAAGGGTAGATGCAGCAGCTTAATCAGAGAAAGTGTCATGCACAATGGCTATGCAACTGACAGTATCCTATGGGCGTACTCAACTGCACAAGTGATGCAGACGTATCATAATCTTACAAGTGGCACGGCAGTAGTAGGAGGGACAAATGTGCACTGCTAGAAGTCGCGGCATTTGCAAGCTCAGCAGTGTCCATGCAACGGCTTCGTCAGAGGCCGTTGAACTCCGTTGAACTGTTGACGTCTATCCTGGGTGCATGACTCTGCTAGGCACTCACGACCTCCGAGGGCTCCGATGTGGAGATCCCATTGGTGACAGCGCTTTGAGGTCTCTATCAGGGTCGCTGTAGTGCCTGCTGCGCCTGTTGCAGTCTCAGTCTGTCTTGCTATGGTCAGCTTGCCAAGCGAACCTGCCTCCAGGCGACCGCGTGGACCTTGAGAAAACCTCAGCCCGTCCGTCTCACACAATTCGACTCATCGGTTAGCACCGCATGCAAGGCTCTACTCCACAAGCCCGAGACATCCCGTCACATTGCCTAAGACAAGAACCGGACGAACGCTAAGGCCCTAAGTACCAGGTTCTGACTCACTTATCTGATGCTGAGAAGCAGGAGCCCCGAAATGACAATCAGGGCCCATCCCCATGGATGCCTTTGCAATGGTGAGACTGCAGCCTGGGCACAAAGATGTCCGTGCACGCCATCGCCGTTGCACTGACGCAGTGAGAGCTGCCATAGCGCCTGGGGTCATTCATGGTGCTTTCCAGCAGGTCAGGCGCGCTGCGCAGTGGCAGAAGCTGCCATGTTAGGCAGATACAGACCGATCTCTTTTGCTTCGGAGGAACCTACTTCGGAGCTCGGGGACAGCCAAAGCCTTAAGACAAGGTGCTAAGTTCTAATACATTTATATAGGCTAAGGCAGAGCTGTGACACATCTTTTCGAGCGCTGTAACCAGCGCTTCGCCTTCGGCACAACAAGGATGCCGAGTCCCATCACTCTTGTGCGATAGTCGCATACCGTTGTGGAATGTACATTTCAGCTTCTGCTATAGCATGCGTGCTCCAGTTCTTACAATGAAAGGCTTTGTGGATCTTGCCCTTTGGGATCCGGAGGGCTCGCCAATGATGCGGGGTCCACTGCAACAATTCAAAGCCTCGAGTTGCGAGGTCAAGTAGGAGGCCCGCTTTGACTGTCTCCAGGTCGTGAAGGATCAGAATTGTCACATGGTTTCCGCACTTCAGTATATTCCGCGAGGCATAGACTCATGACCTGCGGGATTGGATCTCATAATTTTTGTGAAAATGACATCTCACGCGCGGCTACTCTAGTTGGCTTGTGTGACTGGATAACGCGGAATGTATATTTAAAAAGGTCATCTTTGGAACTGCCTTGAGCTTTGACACTTGACATGAAACACTTGCTGTTGCTCGTGGTGGTTAGGACTTGCTCTGTCGCTGAGGAAGAGATGCTAGGGGACGGCTACGCTGCAGCCGAGCGCATTGCACTGGAGCCAAACGGGAACCCCAATTATTTGCTACTTGCCAATCAAAGAGCGCTTCCATCAGCATCAGGGCCCTGCAAAGTGCAAAGCCCAGGATCGACCCTAATAACGCCAACTTCTTCCACATGATGTTCTTCTTGTGATGCCCGCAGGGGTTTTGTACAAAGAGCTTCGCAGCTAATCATTTGCAGCGGGGCCTGTGTCAGCAGGAAACAGGCCCTTGTGGTCTCAACACGACCCCTGAGTCAGCCAACTTTTGAAGCCCGTTATGACGGCCAGCACTTGCAGCGACGTGCTGGCAGGTACTTTTGCGTATGACTCCAACCTCATAGCAATTCTGGGTTAATATCCTCCATCACCGCCAAAGATGAGCTGTTGTATGCTAGACTTGCCTGTCGGCATGTGTTGCAGGGGCTGCCGTCACCACAATTTTGAGACTTGGCCCACTCTGCGGCGTAGACGCCCGAGCAGGCAGGTGGGTTTATTTCACACCAAGCACAGCGCGTGCCAAGCAAAAGCCCGCGCAACGTCCCACGAGCTTGCATAAGGCCAAGCTGGGATGTCTTGGATGTTTTTGGATGGGTTTGCAAACTTCCTCTGCCTGCGCAGCTGTATGGCTCCGCTGGGTCCCTTGGACCCTCCTTGGGCCTTGCCAGGAGCGGGCCGGGAGGGAGAAGACCAGAAAGAGGCACCCTCGATTACCTCATGGCGGAGGCCCAGCGCGGTACTTTGTAGATTGTTTGGACTTAGTGATTTTAGTGAGATTTTGAGGGTGTCTTGGGGCTTGCGCTGGGGCAAGGCTGCCATCCTCTCCGACAAGCTGAAGAGGCACTCGAGTGGAACTGCCATAATACTGCTCCAAGAAAGTAGCGACATTATTTGCGATAGCTTCATAGTACTGAGCAACGCTAAAGGAAGTAGAGTAGTCTGCATCACAAAACACCAGGGGAAGGAGACATGCACCTGTCTCACAGTTGCAGGTGTCTTCTTGGGGGACCCTTTAACAGCTTGCATTGTCTTTTAGGGATCCGTCGCCTGGGCCTGGGAGGTATGGCGCGGTGGGCGCCGGACTTATCCCCGACTCCATGGCCACGCTGCGCCTCGTCGAGGCGCAAGCCGGTTCTGGCGAGACGGAGAAGGTAAAAAAGAACTTCGACAGATGTGTGTAACAAGGGTTTCAATACACATATACATATATTGATATTGGTACATGTAGAAGATGTACATGTACTAAGACTGCTTTTTCGGGGCTCCTGTCGGGCATCTCCAGAGTTAAGACTGCCTGAAGCAATTTGTGAGACCGACAGCAGTGGAGGGGTTTAGGATCTATTTGCTCTGCGTGCAGGCTGCAAAGGGCACCGCCTCCCCGTCGGGTGCGCCGTTGCATTTGGCCAAGTTGACAGAAGCAGTCTGCGCTCTGTCGCCAAGGATACAGCGAGGCCCCTGTCGCGGGCAGCAGTGCCAGCACAGGTGCAACACTTAGACATCAATTTTGGGCAAGCTTCGCTTGCATTCATGGTTATCATTGGCGTTAGAATCTGCATAGATTTGGGGTATCGCTGCAAGGTAGCCACAAGGTATGGCAGCGGCCTAGCGGAGGAGCCGCCAATCAACACTGTGAAGCTTTCAAGAAGAACTCGTCATGTCGAAGTAGCCTCCCACAAAGCAGGAGTTCAGACAAGGCAGGACATCCTGGAGTTGTTGGACGAGACCATCCGAGTTCAGAGCCCTTCTGGCGAGCTTGAGCAGCGCGAGCCCCCCTTGTCGCAAGAAACCATTCGGACAAAAGTGGCAGACGAAAACAGAAAGCAGGATGTGCTCCCTTCTTGAAGTGCCAGTCATGGGCCAGGTATCGTGCAGACCGAAATCAGTCAGCTGGCCAGAACCATCGCCAAGGAGGCGAAGGCGGTCTCGTGAGTGCAGTCGGCACAAAGGCGAGGAGCCTGAGCCCTGAGAAGCAGAAGCAGGAGAAGCAGGAGAAGCAGGAGGGTAAGAAGAAGAAAAGGAGAGCCCTCTCCATCCCTGAGGCTTTCCGCAGGGTCAAGGCAGGACGGATCCTGAGCACAACCTCGCTCCACAGCAATGCTTCCAGGAGTTGGGTTTGCCCATAGATCCTTTGGAGGACAAACTGCTCACAGGGATCCCTGCAGGGGGAGACGCACTCAGTTTGGGCATGTTTGGGCTGTTGGAAGGAGCTCAACCTCTCCGAGCAAGCCTTCCAGAAGCTTCTGACACAGTGGCCTTACAAGAGTTACTAGAGTTGGAGCCATTCAATTTGTTGCAACTTCTCAGTCCACAACCCGCTTGCCTCCTTAGTCAATTCTTGTCTCGCTGCCAGTTGGTTGCAGCAGTCAAGACTTGGTGGATGGGTATGCGTAGGCGCAAGGTAACCACTTTAGTTGTTTCTGCGCAATATAGCTTTGCCTTTGCCCTTGGAGCAGTGTATGCGTGTGACATGATGTATGCAGCAGCAGAGTTGTTTCTGCCACTTTGCCTGCCTGGTCACTGTTGGTCTTGCTCCCTCTGCCCCCAGATTTACTTGGAGTACGAAGGGCACACTCATTCCCCCCCCCCACGCCGCGCTTCGTTCCCGCTCTAGTGCAAGTGGACGCAGAAAGGCCGGCCTCGCAGCTAAAAGCTGGCAAAGAATAAAGTCTTGGCACAGCTTTTGCCGCGCGGGTGTAATCCTGTGATCCGCTTGAAATTCACGATGCTCAACCGCAGAGGGGGGGGGGGGTGTGGGCCGGCGTGGGCAATGCTGCAATCGATCACTGGTCCTCAGAGCCACACGCCGCGCTTGACTTGCGCAGGTACGAGCAAGATGAAGAGGCAGGGACAAAAAAGACATAGACCCTCTTTTCTCTTTGAGGAAGAAGGCCAGAGCACTCTGACTCTCGGAGTTTTCTGAGGTTTCGGCCAAGGCTCAGCTGCTTCTGCACCCTGAGCCCAAGGGTGACCTCGCGAAAGCCCGGAGTGCGCTTCGGGGACATGCGGGAGAAGTCTGCCATCCATGGTGCCAGACACGGAAGTTGCCATGGTCTTGCAACCTGGGAGGTATCACAGTCGAAAAGATCGTGGAGATTCACCAGTTCATGGTGGCCTGTGTCTCAGCAAAGTGGCAGCAGTATCTTCTGAAAGAAAACGAACCATTCTGCTCGCTTTGGCAGATGGAGATGCAGAAGGTCCTCACAGAATTCCTTGCGCTGGATCAGGAAGTGTTGTCGCAGAGAGTCTGCCTGAGAGGCTTTGCTTTGTTGGCAGGAGACACGCCGAACTTTCAGCAACAAGGCTTTGTGTACATCGGCTGTCAGTGTGGCCCTGCGCTTGCGAGACGCGCTAGCACAAGCTTGCGCCGCGTGTAGGCTTGTGAAACCACTGCCGAACTCCTTGCCCAACACTTACACAACCTCCTTGCTTGCATGATTGGTAAGGCAAGTTCTGATGTGATGGATTGGAACCAGCAAAGGTATCTGTGGCTGTAGAACAGACGCTGGGTGTGCACTGCGAGGATGTGGAGCAGGTGCCAGCAGGGCTGATTGGTTCAAGGAGTAAGAAGTTGTGAGCTGCAGGCCGTGATCCAGCATGAACCTTAGCTTGTGAAGAGAAGGTAGATCGAGGCCCCCCTTTTCCATGATTCATCAGTCCTGGAGGCACGAGGAGATCCTGGCAAACAACCCAGAGCGCGGTCGCCCGGAAGCGCGATGGCATGTGATGGCATGCGCATGTGAGCCAGTCCAAGGTTCGCCCGCTGCACTGATCAGCTGGCAAACATGATGCAGCCTTCGGCTCAGGGATCCAGTGCCGCAGCAAAGGGGTGGTTACAGACCTGCCAAAGGCACCTCACAGGTGCGGCGCAGCCGCGCGCGAACAAGGTAGGGACACTGCAGCGTCGGGGCTGGAAGCGGCGTGCATTGGCAGGAGGACTTCCTGGAGGTCCTCCGAAACATGGCGGACCATGCCCAGAAGGCGAAGGCTAGAATGATCGATCGAATCATGTTGTGATGTCCAAGTTGCAACTGCGCAGGATTTTTCCAAGAAGGTTTACGAGGAGTACCGGGCCAGACTCCTGAGTTCAAAGGTTGCTGGTTCTGGCCGCTCGACGTCACTTGCTAAGGCCAAAACTTGTCCCGTCAGCGATGCTTACCGCCGCTTCGAGGACGGTAGGGCGAAAGCCCTGAACCTCAACCTGAGTTTTTTTGTCAAGCTCACAAAAAGCTCAAGCTCCACCGCTGCGCTAGGAGTTTGCCGCAGACACGCCAGCGGCCAAAGAGGGCCTCGAGGCAAACGCCAAGGGGTGAACACGGATGTGGATGGAAACCAGAAGGGATGGCTGGATATCTGCAACTTGGCTGCAGGACTTGACGCCAGTGGAGCTACAGCTCTGCTACGACGAGTACAGGGAAGACAATGAGGCCAAGTGGGATTCTGGTGACAGGCTGAGGCCAAGCATCGCAATGGTTTGCCCTGTTCAAGGTGCGAAGTGCGTGGTCCAAAGCCGGTGTGGAGAACAGCATCATGATGTCGCTGCCCCATGAGCCTCCCTGAATCAGTTCTCGAGAGTGTTCAATTCTCGAGCAGAGGCTTCTCTGTTTAAGTCACCTCTTTACATCTTCCCTCCCTGAAGCGGTGTGGACTCTCCTAGGGCGAGCTGCATGACTTCGCTCCTCAAGAATGATGCCGCTGCCGTTCCATTGCCGGAGGCCCCTGAGGGGAGTTTGGAGCTTCAGGTTTGGATTGCAGGGCTTCGGGCATTCCCCCATCGGCAAGCATGCGGCTTGCAGGACAAGAAGGGCAAGAAGATGAAGCTGTCAGAGATCGTAGAGATGCAGGAGCCTGGACTTTCACCGTAAGGTCAGACAAGCACCCCTGCGCGCAGGAGCTAATGGTGGATGAGATGAAGCGGCTATCTGAAGCGGCCAGCGCTGCGTCTAAGGCCTGATGTGCTGTCCAACATCCCGGCTCTACTGGGAGGAAATCTTGCACCACCTAGGGTCCCCTAATCTGTTGGAATTACGCAGAAGACGCAGGGTGTCTCAGGATGTCCTTACGGCAACCGTATGGCAATCTCGTGAGCCGAAACCTTTTGGAGGCCTCTTCTTCATCTCCCTGGCGAGCGGAGGTTGCCATGCAAATGGCCCGGTCCCAAGCATAGGCCGTCGTTTCAAACACTAAAGTAGTCGTGCAAACAGATTTGAGGCTCGTTTTGTATCTTTCTTGAAGTAGTGGGATATGCCAGCTTGCAGACGAAGGAGATTCACAGGACAGCCCTTCCAACATCAAACGGAATCATCGTTCCAATTCATGGGTTTGAATCATGAAGTACTGGTGGTTCCGGATGGAGCAGTTCGAGCCCAAGTGAATGTGACGAATTTCGAGTTTCAATGAAATGCATGTGAAATTCAGATCCTGCCATGAATTCATTAATTTATCGTGGGGTTTAGTTAGATTCGGTGTGGGAAGGGTACTCCCGACGCCCCGAGCCGTAGCGTGGAACGTTTTCAACCCCCCGCATCTTTGTTTTGACCCCTGGTGCAGAATTTGTTAAATCTTCCATTTCAATCCCATGGTTCTTTTCAAGTCTATAGATTCTCCACTATTTGGGGTGCTGTCTCTACAAGCCATGTCCGCAACCCAGACCAAGCTCTACGAATACTAGCCTCAGGCAGCACGCACTCCGGTTGTCAGGAAGCCTCCAGACTGGATCACAATTCTCTGTGCTACTGCAGCACTAGCCTCCAAGCCATGAAGGAGCCTCATCGTCTGAGTTATCATTCTTATGTCTTCCTAGTTTTCCCCACAGTATTCCTACGTTGCGTGCATCATATACAATACCTGTAGCAGTGGAAGCCATGCGAACAGAGAAAGGAGCACTATGAAAAGACACTCCCCCCAAGCAACCCCAATCTAATCTGGAGATAAAAGCCCCAGAACCCCCTCACAATCCTAAAGCTGCTTCGAGCTCCACAGCATGTTTGCCCAACTGTGTTCAATCCAGTAGAGTTTTTCTGCGCCACTGGGATGCAGCAGAGAGACGTGATTCCTGAAGCGCGCTTGGGCCCAAAACAACTCTAAGATCTGAGTTTGGTAGCGGAGCTTTGGCTCTACATAAGTCCAAGCGCAATACCGCAATACGCTGCCGAAAGCGTGTTCGCTTTGAGCTGCGTCTTCCGCGGCTCACGCCATCTTCTACTACGACTTTTGGCACCATGGTTTTCATCCTCTTCATTGTTGTGGCCTGGTTGAGACAGATCACCACGGGCATCGACATGCCCATCAACCAGAAGAGAAATTCGATCCAGGGAGAGATTTTGCGAAGGAACTTGTTCCCCGACTTCAGCCTTGGTGCTAGACAAAGTATCACCTCACTGCTTAACCTTTGCCTGCCATGTCTCGACTCTGTGACACTTTAGGTGACCATGTAGAGCATGGACCCTGTCTTTCATGCTGACTGTTGCGTACCAAGCTTAACTGCTTCAGGAATCGAACGAGGTTGCGAGTCAGGACCTCGACAAACCACTTGAGCTCCTAGGCGGCAACTTGCTTGAAGTCGTCCTGCCAACAAAGCTCCCAGACAGCAAGTGCCCGGACTACCTCCACGTCTTTGACTTCATCGACGGCGAGATGGCAGATGGTCATGGCTCCGGTGGTGGAATTCCTCTACATGAATTTCATCGAGAGGTTCCGCCAGGTTGGGCGCCAGGGCAGCCAGACTACCCCTTGAGCAGGACGTCTCCAAGGGAAAGCGCAGCGTCTGGGCTAAGGTTGCGCTGCCCAGATGGAGGCATGGACATGGGATCGAATGCACTTGTCCGTCTTTCTGTTAAAGAAGTGAGAGATCCAGCCAACCCAAATGTTATCCTCCAATGTGCGATACCATCCGGAGTTCAAGCATTATGCAACTCGCTGAGAGAGGCGTTCGGAATGTCTGATCAGGACTTGGTGTCGCGCTCCATAGAAGATCTCATGGAATTTCGTCGAGGCAAATTTCCTGAGTATGCCATTAAATGGGAGATCAAAATGGAGGAGGCCGTTACTTGTGCGGGCCTGGAAATCAACGGTGTTGGGAAGCTCTACTTGTTCTTTCGTGGCTCAGGGTTTCCTCAGGAATTCGTGGAGAACATCAAGCTGCAACTTCAAGGCTCGAGAGCGACGCGACGCGCACGAAACCCGCAGCGGGTTGGCAAACGACGATTTCGCTAAACATGCCCCGGCTTCAGAAATAAGAGAAAGTTGAAGAGAGACGTGGCGTGGTGCATTGTGGAGTGTGCAAGGCGAGTGATGTAAGTGCTGTGGCGTGGTGTATGTCAGCGGTGTAAGTGCTGTGGTGTCTGCAAGGCGAGCGATGTAAGTGCTGTGGCGCGGTGTATGTGAGCGGTGTAAAGTGCTGTGTAGACTGCGGCGTGGTGTATGTGAGCGGTGTGTGCAAGGCTACTTTTTTTTGGACGCAGAAGCCTTCGCGGTGCTTTCAGGAAAACTCTGCTCGCGAGGAAGTGACGTTTGGATGGCGACACTGTCATAGCTCGGTCCAAATCAGGTTCCAAGCCAGGGGAATGCCCGCTGCAACGCCCGCAAGTATGCCGGTCACACTTGGCTTTTTGTCTTTTTTCTCGAAAGAACAGCCCTAGAATCCAACAAACGTTGCAATTGAGGGGTGCGCTGCCCCCCAACCAAACAGGCATCCCTCCTCAAACCGCATTGCTGATTCCCCCTCGAGCCCCACTGCTGATCATGAGTGCGAAAATGTCTCAGTCACCAAAAGCCCGGCCCCGCTTGCTTTCGACCTTTGCTCTTCATGAAGGGATGATGATGATGATGATGACCTAATATTGCTTCACTTCTCGGGCCTTCGAAGGGTGGCTGGGGCAGCCCACCTGCTATCGTTTTTTAAGCAGACAGGGTTTCCACCGCTGATTCTGAGTGCAACAATGTTTCAGTCATGAGGAACCGGCCTCGCTTGCTTTAGACCGTTGACTAAGGGTGCTACGAGGGGGGCAGGGTCAAAAACCCAATAGAGGGGGTCAGATTAAAGGCTTTTTGGGGGTTGAAATGAAGAGAGGAAGGGGTCAAATAAAGGACGCCTGGAATCATTCAATGAAATGTTGACCCCTTAGATTGTCGATTTGGCGCCCGCTAGATTGTCAATTTGGGGCCCTGTAGATTGTCAATTTGGGGCCGTGTAGATTGTCAATTAGGGGCCCCTTAGACTGTCAATTTGGGGGGCCCTAGATTGTCAATTTGGGCCCCTTGGATTGTAAATTTGGTACCCCCTTATAGGGCCTAAAAATTGGGGGGTCGAAAACAACACCCAGGGTGTCAGGATTGACGGCAAATTTCTTGCCCGGACTTTTGCCCATTCAAGGTCCAGTCGCTAGCCAGCGCTGCGGTGGAACGGAGGCTTGCTCCAAATTGGATGTTTGGTGGTTGATCTTGCAGAAATTCAGCAAGCTGTATACGTGATTCCTCTCCAGATCATTGAATCCTTTTGATTCGCGATGCTTGAATGCTGCAACCTTCTGGGGAATCGGTACGCATTTGCCTGCTGCAGATACGGCGTGTCACCGGAGGAGATGACAATCGCCGGGATCCAAAACGCAGAGGGCCAAGCAGTCTCAAGCATGATGGTGTTGCGCGTGGCATGGCTTCTGCCAGGCTCCCATGCTTCAGAAGAACGAACGCTTCGTCCGTGCCACTGAGAAGCAACAGGCCACACTCCTGTGGCGGCCCGTTCAAGACGTTCGCTTGGGTGAATCAAAGCGTCGAAGATGCCAGGAGATCATCATGGCGGTTGCGCAGTTTTGTGCACAGTGAGGCCAAGCCTTGAATGGTACAAGCGATTTGTTTTGATTATTTGGCTTTGGCAGGTGCCCAGTGTGTATCTGGTGGCATCTTCCGAGATGATGGAGCCGGTGTGGCCCATGAGTTCACTCCTGGGATCCTTTAGCCACCCTCGGCTGCCGCTTTCTAACAGTACAGAATGGAGGGCGGGGGGTACTTTTTAGAGAATGCTCTGCCGGTGCCGTGGGGTACGTAGGAAATTTGCCCAGTGTAGGTGCCCTCTTGGCACTGCTGAAATGCCTTGGCGATCGCTCTTTTAACAGAATGCAATGAGCAATGGCCAGTTTCACCCCGCCCGGTCTACCATCCAGATGTACCTACGTGACCAAGAACATGAGAACATTACCCTCTTCACATTGCAGGTAGCCCGGAGGCCCAAAGTGTTTTAGGGAGCCAGACCTCGGCTGGTCTAAGCCAGGTCCTTCCCGGCGTGCTCACCCAGCGGAGGTGCAAAGCGAAAGCAGCGAGCCACGGTGTGCCTGGGGGTCCAGGACTGAAACAACACAGCTTGCCCCAAAGACCGAAGATCTTGATCTCCAGAATCACAGACCCCTCAGCCACGACCCTGACGTGCCGCCATCTGCTAGGTGCAAAATAGCGACATGCTCTTCGCTGCATCTTATTGTCAAGCTGCAGCGCAGAACGCCAAGCGCACACCCGCACAGCAAACCATCAAGCAGGGGCGTCTCTCACAGCACCTGACAATCCGTGAGTGCAGTTTTGGCCTCAACCCCCAAAGGGACCGACCCTATATACAGTAGTACTTTCTTTTTCCATTATCCCCATATACCAGAGCTCCTGTGTTTTGGGCTTTAAGCCTGCGAGGCCGAGATGCAGGAACACATTCCCAGCTCACCCGAGCAGAGTGTTCCAAACCACCACCAAAAAGGTACTCGCCATTTCCTTTTGCTTGTTACAACTGAAGCTCTCAAATCCGTCTAAAGCTTAGGTAAGGTTTACATATCTACCACTCAGAGGCATTGAGCTGAATTTGAGATGAAACATGAACGACAAGCGGCAAAACCATGAAATCAACGAAAACTACTCGGGCAAGAGTTGCGAATGTAATGGGAGAGTGGCATCATAAAATCACTGTGAGAGTCGGGCGGGGCAATTTATCTCGTGAATGCCAAGGAGGTCGGGGGCCTGAGGAACAGCGACGACGACCACAACGACGGCTATTACTAGTTACTAGTTACTCTACTGCTAACGCCACTGCATATGCATACATGCATACATCCATGCGTGAATCATGTCCTGCACATATCTGCAGTCATACATACCTCCGCGATTTTTTCCATAAGCACCACTGGCTGCCAATCTGACTGCCAGCGTGCTTTTCATGCGCTGGCCCCGCAACTGGCTCAATGTATTGGGAGCTCAGTCACAATGAAGTGCATTGCCGTGTTGGCAATCCAGATAGGCCCAGTGGGATCTCTGTGGCTGTCGCATTTGATCCAGCTGCTCTCGCAGGGCTCCTTGGTGCCAACGCCAGCAAGCTTCGGACGTCATCGCGAAAGAACGTGGGCGTCGTGGTCGCGGCGTGGGCTGCACTTGGAAAGGGAAGCTGTCAGCATCTACATTTCGCAACTTGCCCTCTGGTTTCACTTTAGGTAGGAGATCCCTCCTTCCAGAGCGCCGTGACTGCAAGTGTCCGGGAGGTGCTTCCTCTTTTCTTTCTGCCCTTTGGCTTCATGGCTGAGGCCGGTATGCGGCACAGATCAAGAGCATGAGATGCTACGCCGACAGGCACTTGAATGCTGGAGGAATTCTATGGGTTGAAGGTTGAAACGGATCACATCTTGCCACAGGCACGGCTATGACATGCACCTTCTCACAGCCTCAGAGTATGCGGATTGCAAGCAATTCAAAGATTTCTTCTTCAGAGCCTCGCGCGGCATTGTGTTCGTGAGGCTTAGGTGTGATCTGTGCCACTATCCGGAGTGGTTGAGTGAGGGCTGCCTTGAGCATTGTCCGCTCTAGAAGCCTTGAAGGAAAGCACTGCACTGTTTCGAAGTGGCTGGAGACCCAGCCGAGCAACTACGTCGCCGCCATCTTTGACGGTGATGTGGTCGCTGCTGCCCCAAAGCGCGGGCTGGCCGCTGCCTTGGAAAAAATCTCTCGGAAGAAACGCATTCGATCATGTCGTGATGCGTAGCGTGGGGATTTCTCAAAAGTTGGTCTCCTGCAATAGCAAAGGCCCCAATCTTCTTTGGCAGGCATTTTGAAAGAGAGCGAACCCATTTCGAGAACCCAGCCCAAGGATAAGTGGATCGACCATGGTGCTGACGTGCAGCTGTACAACCGCACCGCTCTGAGGAATTTTGCTTCTGCTCCTCAAGGTTTCTGATTTCCTCAAGCTGGGGGGTTCTTAGTTGAAAACATGGAGTCCCATCTGAACGAAAGGCATCGCCAAACAGATCCGCGCTTTTGGAAAAGACCCTCTGTGCTTCTTGAAGCAGCTTGGACAAAAGCTCAGCTGAGCTCAGCTGAGGCTGCTTGTTCCACGAGATCATGGCAGGCAATCCCCGGCATGTCGCACTTCCACATTTCCACAGAAAAGGAGCCTGAGCCAAATCTGAGATCCCTTACAGCGGCTTTCCCGCCTAGAGCTGTGACAGGTAACTACATGGTCCGGAACACGGAATTCTCTCGGGACTTCCTCATGCGCTGGGCCAAGTATTACGACCAGAGGCCCAGTGGATTCTCCTCCTCGGACAATGGCGCCATCCAGCTAGTGGCGCCTGGGCAAAAGCAGCAGCATTCAAGGTGGTAGCATCCATTCTGGCGCCATTTGGCGACCATAGCAAGAAGTCACGATCTTTCTTCTCCAGCCACACTCGATGAACAGATGGCCTGGCTGGAGATTTCAGGCTCATGCTTTCAATAAGGAGGGTTCCCAAGGAAAATCCTTGACGTCACTCAGATTAGCCAAGGTGATGGAGACGCTCAGCGTGGAGGGTTTCAATACCTGCTTCAACATGTACAAGAACTTGACCAACAAGGCACAGGAATCCCTGCATACATACTTTGGTACTTTGTTCTTAGGAACCTAAAGGCTATAAGTCTCACGCAGGTGACCAACTTGAATCCGTATTGGGATTACGTCCACTGCACCAAGGAGGCCGCGGTCCCAGCATCCTAACATGTGCTTGGGCTGTGCTTGGGTCCTGATCCTCGATCCATTCAGAAACTTCCATCTCCATTTGCATTCTGACTTTCTTCTCAACTTGCGTTGGTTTTGCTGAGTGCTGCCGTGTACCGTGCGGATATTTACGTTGCAATCAAGATGCAGTTTGCAGTGAGATTTTGGTAGTCAATCCCTTCAGGCATCCTAAGCCTTGATCCCCACGCCATCAGCCCTGAATCCTGAATGCCTGAATCCTCAGCGCCGGCATGATTAAAAATTTAAGCCCAAACCCTAAGCCTTCAAAACCTCAGCCCTAAAACCTGAGCCTGCTGAACCATAAACCCTAAGTATCATGTTGTATCCATCCCAGAGGCCATAGGCCCAGCTCGCGCGTGGAAGCTGCCCAAGGGCTCCCTGACGCTGTGGCCTCGTTTGGAGTTCTACGTGGCAGATGGCGTCTTCCTCAACAGGCTGGGCTAGTGTGTAGGGAAGTAAGAATCTCCATGAAGATTACCTACAGCCAGGGAGTGGCAGCAGGTACAACGGTCATACCGTGCTGGGAATGACAAGCGTAGTGATATACCGCCACAGAAAGCTTGCGAGGTCCTCCAAAGACTGTGGCCTCACACCAAACACTCTAAAGTGAGGCCAAGCCGAAGCTCCCAAGCCCAAAGCCCAGCAGCCCTAATGCCCGGAACTCAAATCTTTCAGGTGGGCAAGTGACGACGTTGGCCCAGTCTTCCATCACGGTGTAAAGGATCCCCACGATGTCACATCCTTCTACTACAAGGCCATTCAGTTTTGAGCCTTAGGGCTTCAGGTGTACGTTCCCGGGTTCAGGGCTTCCCGTACGGACTTGAGTAGTCTGAAGGTGATCTAAATGTGCTTGGATTTTGCTGGACGGCTGGGGTTTTGCGACAGGGCAGAGCTACAGGATGAAGTAGCAGTCAACCCCAAGAAAATTGAAAGCTCAGAGCCCTGAACCTCCACATGCTAACCTGGCTAACCTTGCAACCTCAAGCCCAGAATCCTGAAGCCCCAGCCACACCAAGAAGCAACAGTTTTCACATTTTCAGGACTTGGATGGATGCCAGCTAAACGACACGTCGGTGCTGCGCAGTGCGGCCGAGTTGGGTGAGACGGCTTTGCACCTGGCGCAAAGCTACCCAGAGTACTTCCCCGCAGGCTGATCGCGAGCTGCTTTACTCTCTTGAAGCAGCTTGAAATGCAGTTGCTTTCATCCTGGAGATTTGTGCGTCTTCTCCCCTGTTTGTCTGCTGCTGCTGCCGCCGCCGGCTGCTGATTTTTGTTCCTGCTGCTGAGGCTACAACTCCCACTGCTGCTGCTGCTGCTGCTGATGACCCGATTACTCCTCGTGCTACCACAAAACATTCACGGACGACTTCACCCGTTGCTGATAGGGGTTCCTGCGCTATGCCCATCGTGCGTTTGACCAGTGTGCTTTGCTCCTCATACTATCGGTGTAAAGTCAATTCTCTGAGTTGATTTGGCTGCAACCTTGGAGGCAAAAGCTGCAAGCAGTGCGCGGAGCTGTGCATGAAGAGTTTCAGCTGCCAACCTCTGGAGGAGGGCTGTAGGCGGCTAACAGTCCTAGGGAGCACGCCGCGAACTTGTTTTGGGCATAACGGCATAGCTGGATGCGTTAGCGCTTGCAGAATGGGATATGAGATTTCTTTCTGCCCATCGTGGAGCATGAGCAGACAGACCAGGACGCGGAAGAGCCGCGGCCAAAGCAGGCGCTGCTACTGAGCATGAGCCTGTGGCGACAAGGAAGTCCATCATGGAAATGAGGTTCTGTGGTGTCTGTGGTAGTGTATACTAGACAACCTGGGAAGGCATTGCTCTACGCCCAAGGGCATGGGTCTTGTCTTCTCTTTCGGGTGGAAGTTCTGTCAGAGGTTGACGTGTCCAGCTTCGGTACCGCCAGCTTCACACTGGTGGACTCCGCTGTGAGCCGACAGTCAAGTCCCCAGCAAGGGAGGTCCGGAAGCTTCAGTGAGATCTCCAGTGGTAACCCGACTATAGCCTAAAGCAATACCAAGACAACCCGAATGGTTGACTTAAAGCTTGACATAGCTTCCTGGATGGTCACCGTGCTTGTGTGGGCAATAGCATTGCGGTCCTTCTTCCAGCAGTCATCAGAATGATTGAATTCTTGCTATCAAGGCATTCCTGGGGATGGTCGCGCTGGGCAAAGTGAAGGAGGACACACGGTTGCTGGGAGGGGTCTCATAAGAGGGGCAGCAGATCTTTGGGAACCAACATGTCCAACAGTGTCGTATCCAGGCACCAATCCAGATGTCGAGTTGAGGGCTTGGGGTCCTGGACAGGAGCTTCCTTCAACGTTGCGTTGAAATCGCTGCTGCGCGCAGGAACTCGTGAGCCGAGGGACAGTGGCGGAGGAAGCAGTTTTTCAGGCTGATACTTGGATTTTTCTCAAACTCAACGGTCCCTTTTGTGTGCAAGGGGGCTTCTGCAATTGTAGTCTAGAGGTGTTCACGGGGAATCCTTGATCTTTTTGGAAAATCCAAAGGGGACCTGGAATGGGAGAAATGCTCATGTCGTTGGGCGACGGACCACTGGCATACCCTGTAGCGCGGATGTCGCAAAGCTTTGCCACAGGGGTGTCGAGCTGATTGAGCCTGGTGCCGTAACAAAACATGCAAGTGCTGCTTCAGTGGCTGTGCTTCTTGTTGTAGCGGCTGCTTTACTTTGCATTAGTAAGCATCATGCCCGCAGACCTGGTTCTTCTGCTGAATAGTATCATCGCTACGGTTTCCAAGAATCGTCTAAGTAGTATAGTGATGATGGCTACCCTGCTTATGCTAGGGAAGCTGCCATTCCAAACACATGTGCGCAGTTGTCCACGATGGCCATGCGCTGTGTCGAAGTTGCACACATCTGGCGTTCTGCCAGCCCAACCCTCGAGCTTTGTGCCCACGATGGTCCAGCGAGTGAAGTGTGTTGAGAGGGCAAGAAGCTAAGGCACAGTTAAGGCTCAGGCATCGGGCATTGCGCTGTCTGATTCCTAGCTTTCTAGAGTTTTTAGGCATGTCTGCGTGCTCATGATGACTGGAGGGTAGCGTGCCGGATGGGGCCTAGATGTTTCACTCTGCACCTAAAGCGGTGCGTGTGAGCATGCTTGGATTGTTGGAAGCCTCACCGGGCGCCGCATGTTCAAGAAAGCCGTCTGCGCACTTCATGTCATCATGAGCCTGACTACTTGCAGTCTGCGCTTCCCAGAGGGGCACCATGCCGGATGGTCAATTTGGCAGACAACGCTTTTAAGTCCTGAGTTTCCGTGGCGTTTTGTGCCTTCACAGCTGCTTGAGTTGAAACAAAGTCACTTCTTCCTGTAAACCCGGCCAGCGTCTAGTCTCAAGTCCTCAGACAGGCGGATGCGAAGTTCGTTTGTCATGGCCAAGTTGTTTTTACTCCTGGCGCTGAAGGTCTCTCAGTCTGCCGATGCATGCAGCAGCTTGACAGAAATCTCACGCGCACTTTTGACTCCCCGGACTGTTCACACGAAGGCACGAAAAACAAACATGTGTTACGTTAATGCTGGTCGGAGTCAGCCATCCCTATTTCCATGGTAGTCTGGCATCGACCATATGCAATCATGTTACTGTTAATCGGTTTCTGTTGCCTGAAGTTGTTTGACTGTTTTGATCCTGGCGTGCCCAAGCAAGTTCCAATGGCTTGGTACTCATGGGAGGTCTCCCGTGACCGTGTGCAGGCGTGCCTTTGCCTTCTTAATCTTTTGTTGATGTTTATTCACCGTTGCTCAGGCCATCATGGCCGAGATGTACCCAGAGCATTGGTCAACCATGGCTCGGCTCAAGGTCTCTGCGTTTGCTTCAACCTGGAGTCTCGAAGTTCTGCACCCTAAATGCAACAGAGAAACAGTTTGAACAGGTCCCGGACGCTGTCTCTGAGCTGCCACACGTCCGGGCTGCTGTACTTCCACATGAGGCGTCGGCATCTCTACCGGTGACGGTCTGTGCTTTGTGCGTAGGTCTGCACATCCAGGGTGTCTTGCAGGTCCGGAAAGCTTTCAGAGACGCGCTGCCTGACTTTCTCTGCCACATGAGCAGTGCAGTGGCTCTGACTTTGGCCAGAGCCTTCCCAGTCGAGGTACTCGAGCAGGGCACTGGGGCCGGCCGCTCAGCGCTTGGCCTTGCTTTCCATTTTGGTTCCAAACCCCTTAAGGCTTGTGATGTCGGTGGCTCACGGGTTGCAGCCTCAGCTTGTAAGGCCGTCAGAGCCAAGGCCATCTCAGAGCTTGCGAGGCTTGAAACGAAGATCTTTGAGCTTCTTGCCCTCCAGCTGGAGCCCCCAACTGCCTTGCCTTGCAGAGTGGCGTGACAAAGTCCCTATAGCCCTATGGAAGGTGGCGTCACATCAGCCATCGTGGCAGGCGCGCCCTGCGAGAGCCGCCTTCCGATCCACATCTGATCTTGACCCACCCTGTTGTCTAGGCGAAACTTCGAGCCTTTTACCTACCAGCGCGGCAGGAGGCGCCTGCTCACACATGTTGTGCCAATTTCCTGTTCATGTCTCTCAGGCTTCAGGAGGAAGCTGAGGAAGCAGAAGAGGAGAGAGCTCAAAGCAAAGGTGAAGGCCATGGGCAGCCGTGAAAGTGAGACGGCTGTGCCCGTGCATTGCAGGCTCATATGCGACAACAGGCATTCTGACAGCGCGGCTTGTGGTTGAGTGCCGGCCCCACTTGGTTTCTTTGCTGCTCACACATTGGGAGTTCTGAGATGGCAAAGATTCCAGCAGACTTTCACTCCTCTGCAGGCTTTGGTGCTGCAATGCTATGAGTAACAGGCTCGGAGTTACCATCCCAACTGCAACAAGCCGAATGATGGCGGGTGCTGCCTTGGTGTTGAGATGTCGTCGACGGTCGTGGCAGGTTGGTGTAAACTGCCGGCGTGTGAGAGACGCACGAGAAGTTCAAGGTTCGAACCTTGATCATGCGTACAAAGCGGTGGAGTCAGCTGTGAGATACTCTGGCCAAAAGCCACAGTGTCGAAGCCATGAGCTCAAACAGGCTCTTGTTTCCCAAGTGCCCGGCTGACTCTACAACACTGCTCATGGCATGAGCTCCGCCGCACCACGGTGTTTTCGTTTAACCAGCATTGCCACTTTGCAGTTTTTCGTTTGAAAAGATACCTGTTGTGAAATGATAGATCAAGAGCAGCGTCAAGTCCACTGCGGGTTGTGCAAGCTCAGTGCCCCAGTCATGTCCGACTTGCATGTGGATGCTTTGTGACAGAGCCTTTTGTGATTCGCCGCGCCGACAGCATCTCTCCCTGAAGGTCTTGACAGTTCTTGGCATGAACTCTGTTCGCTTCTTTGTCTTGCTAGTGGCTGCATTCCTGGCCACCTCCCGGGCTGCAAAAAGGGGCAGGGCAAGGGCACCCCGGGAGCGATCCAAAGAGCGCAAGGGCATCCAGGTGCAGCCAGAGCCCCTTCAACTGCCATCATCCTTGCTTGAGCTTCCCACGGATGCGAATCCAATTCCACCAGCTGCCCTTGGCACAAACGACAACATACAAGAGCAGCACGAGCTCATCACGGCAATCAGCAAGCTACAGTTGCAAGATTTCCCAGAGGCAGACTTGGCAACAGGGGAAGCAGCCTGTCAAACAGACTTGAGCGTCTTGTTGGGCGTGCAGCTGGACCAGCTCCAGACTGCAGAGGGCCCTGGTTCCTCGCTATCGGCATCGGCTCCAAACGAGTCCGGTATCCTGGGCTCAATGTCCCTGGCCGAGCTCCAGCTCCTTCGGGAGCAGTATGCCATGAGAAAGCACGACAGAAGAACATGAGATGCGGCGAGCTGCGTCGCAGCAAGCTCCCCGAGTTGGAGCTTGGGTAACTTGTGTCACTCCTTGCGGTCGTTGTTGGCACGCGTGAGGGTTCTTTCTATTACTATTACTATTACTATTACTATTTTTTGCCTTTGCCACTCAGCTAGAGTTCAAATCGAACGCCTCTCGAGAGCCTCGTATATTTCATGATTGTCAACCTGGGATGACTCAATCAATGCAAAGAAGCTACATGCGGCCTTGGACAACTTTCTCCCTCTAAGCTGCAAAAGATCGGAGTGTGCAAAACCGCTGATGGTCACCTCAAGTCCGACTCGATAACTTCTTGCAGTGGCATCCAGCAAGGGCGTTAAGTGCGACCAAAAAGTAGCAGGCCCAAACATTTTCATCGGAGGCAACCATGCAGCTTCTGTGCCTTTGATGTGTGGACCTGCGTCGCCGCCGATATCAGCAGCCAGGTATCTGTTTTTGCACAGGGGCACGTTATACAAGTGTTTGAGCAATCTCGCTGAGCATGTGTTGTCGCCGTTGAATCCAGTTGTGGAGAGTGGTTTTGGCGTGGTGCACTTGCAACGACCTTGGCATTAAGGAAGTTGGAGGGTGCTCAAGCCCGTTTGTTCCCGAAGTGACTGCTATCCTCCATGGACTGATCATCGCATTGACCTGCAACTTACCGGTAAGAATTCATCTGCACACAGCTCGATGCCCTGATCACGCAGCCAGCGCTCAAGCTCAGGAGGGCTATCCAGAAGAAGGCTGCTTAAGTCAGCCTGCTGAACTCCAAGCCTTTCCATGAACCCTCACGGACAGAAGAAAGAAACTCACAGAGTCAAAAGGCTTGAGAAGTCCAGCTGCGGTCGGCTCGCCTCTAATCCAAGCTTGGTTGAGACCCTACCCAACCAGCACTGCTTCAATCAGTGCAAACCCCCATCGCAGCTGCAACTACCGAATTAGATGTTTCACATAAGCCTTGAATGCCATCCGCGGCAGATTGGCAATCATAACGTAGCCTTTGGCTGGCGCGATTCTCAGGAGTTCCTGGATGACTTTTCGGCTACTTTGCTGCCAGAGGCGATATGCGACGAGTGTGCGGTTACCGCGCGGTATCAGTCGTGTGTGCGTGTGGCTAACTCCTCCCAGCAGATTCAGACAGCTACTTTGGCTGAAGAGAGACTTTCTGTTCATGGCAGAGGGCACCCAGCGGTTCAGGCACCCTGTCAAAGCAGCAGCCAGCCATCTTTGAAACGCCAGCAGGCGCTGGTGCCGTGGAGGGTGAGTCATTCCACCATTGCAGTACGGCCGTCGGAGGCCAGCGCGGCCCGGCCGCTTCAACAGTGTCCCGAGACCAAGCGGCGCAAGATATTACTGCTTTTCCGGTTGTGCTGCGAGATTTTCCTTGACATCGGAGAGCTCGGTTTCCCAAACCTGAACTGGGAGGACCCAGTGGCTGTCGGTGCTGCGTCAGACCTCGTTCTGCGAGCGGCCCTTCGCTTGAGCGAGGCACGAATTGGCATGCTTGCGGCAACGCTGCGACGCTGGTGCAAGTGGTGTCTTCAACAACGTGTCTCGGCTTCAGAACCGGCCCACGCAGAGCTGGCTCGTTTTCTTGAAGAGGTCAGCCGTGGTGGGCCCACAGCAGCATCCTCAGTTTACCAGGCCCTTCTGTGGCTGAATCAGAACCTGGCAGCAAGGCTACCGTTGGATCACTTTATGGTACGCCCGTTTCGATTCTATGCCTTGGGCCACGTGACACGTCAAGCAGTCGAGCTTCAGCCATGGGAATTTATTAGTCTGCTGAGATTGGCAGCTGAGTTGACAGGTGTTCCGCAGCTCTTGCTTTGCTGTATTCTGCAATCGGCAGTGTCCTGTGTTCGGTGCGCCCACGCTCAACGTTCTAGACTTGTCGCGGACCAGTGCGCGTGGTTGGAGTTCGAGTGCTCTGAGGGAAAGAGCCGCCGCTGTGGAGTACGGCCTCCTTACAGGTGGGCCACGCCGTCTGTCGTCTTTGGTGATTTTCCTGTTGCAGCACTTGCGAGATGCCCCTTTCCTGTGGCCTGCGGTTGAGCTGAAGCAGGAGGACCTCTTTCAGGTGGTGGATGGCTCTCGCCTTTTGCTTCACAAGAAGCTCCCTGGCAAACTCTTGCTTGAGTATCTTCGTGGGTGCCCGCAGCGTTGTGGAGTCGCGCTTGCTGCAGCTGGGGCAGCTACTTACAACAAGCTGAGGCGGTTACAGGTGCTAATGTTCCGGCCATGCCGGACTCTGAGGCGCAGGCTATTGGATCTTCGCTTGAGCTTCCTAAGGGAGGCGAGTCTGGTGAGCGAGGCAAGAAGCAGGAGAGGATGGCAGTGCGCTATTCTGGTCAGCGAGTCCTGTCCAGCAATGAGGCCAAGCAGCGCGTCTTGACGGCTCTACTTAGGCACCCCTTGGCGCAGAGTGGCGTGTCGAACCAGCTAGCTCCTGCTTCCTTCTGCTGGCATCATATCAGGCAGCAGCCTGAAAGCACTGAGAAGCCTCGGCCGGCATCTTCCTCCTCTTCTGATCCGGCGAGCTCTTCATCGTGTGAGGATGATCGACACTGGGCTGATGTGGCTTGCTTGGCTGAGACTGCTTGGTTTCTGCAGGGCCAACGGGTCCATTTGGTCAGAAGGAGGCTTCCCTTGTGCCGTGGTGTCGTAAAGCACCTTTTGCTCAGGGTCAGGACTTGACATCTCATGGGCAGGCAACTATAAGTGCCAGTGTGTGGATGGCCAGGAGTACGTCATGTGCAGCCTCACTGCCGCATTGGACTTCGCAGATTTCGCCCTTAGGCATGCTGTCCAGTTCGGTAATCTTGCTTGGTTGAGCCGGTGTGATTTGCTGACGAGGGGGGCTATGGCTGGTAAGGTCAGGCGGGGCATGATCGCAGAGCGTGCACTCCGTGAGGCCATCCAAGAGCGCCACTTAGACTGGCGTACAGCTAGCAGTTCCCGTCTTCAAGAAGCTTCCACGCCAGCTAAGCGCCCATTGACTCAGGCTGATTCACCATCTTCCAAATGTTCGCCCCAGACCGTAAGTATGCTACCTGGGAACCGTGGGATTTGCAAGCCCCGTAACGATGAAAGAGGCTGCCAGAACCCCCAGTGCAAGGATGCGCGTGTGTGTGACGTCCGCATGCCCAATGGAAAGGCGTGTGGCAGCTCTACCCATACCCGTGCAAATCACTCTTGAAGGGGGGACGTCCCCCCAAATCCTGCTGGGGGGCGCCCAGAAGCTGTGCAGGAGATCCCAGTATCCGTTCAGGCGATGCATCAGGTTGCGCGTGCAGCAAGCCAGAAGCGTGACTTTGCATTTGCCACATGCACTAGGATCCTGTCTTTGGCTTTCCCACATCCTGCGCAGAATAACCGGCCACAGGTGTTGGGGGATGCTGCTGAGGTGGGGTACTGTGTGCTCGGCCACTTTGCCAACTACCCTCGACAAGGTGTGACTAAGCTCACGACCGCCATGCCCAATGTCACACGTTACTTGAATACGTGGCTCCAGGTTCAATTCCCCCAGCAGTCGTGGTCTAGCAGTGCCATCAGCCATAACGAGCAAGCTTCTGTGCATGTTGACGCTGCAAACCTCCAGGAGTCTTCGAACTTGACAATCTTTCTCAGGTGACAGGTGGGCCATCACGGCATTTACGAACATGCACGTCTTCTCTGCGCCATCCACCTTGCAGCAGCTTTCGGATTTGGGTTTCCCGTATCCTCATGCAGTTGGCGACTTGCCTGTACCCAGGCGTGAGGCAGATCGCCAGGTCATTTGCCATGATCCCGCACCTCCCCCTAGGGGTCTAGGTCCTCCTTTAGGTGGGTCGGATAGGCATGCAGCACCTGCTCCTTCCTCGTCTGCTGCCAGGAGTGTGCGTGCTGGAAATGTGCAGGATCTCCCATTCCCCCCTAGGGGTCTAGGTCCTGAACCCCAGCCGGAATCTTCATTGCAGAAAGCGTCAAGCCAGGTAGCCGCACCCAGGCAAGTGCAAGTGTCTCAGCCAACTTCCGACTCAGGGGCCGCTGATCTTCACTTGTCAGCGCGGAGTGTGCTGCTGCCTGTTGAGCGAGGCTCGGCGTCCTCTTCATCCTTGCAACGGCAAGTTAGTCTTGACTGCGCCTCTGCTGAGCACTCTCCTTCCCTTACGGGTCTAGGTTCCCTAACCCGTGTCCCATCAGACCCGGCTGTGAACTCAATCAAGTCTGTCGCTGCTCAACTTGCCGCCGCGCGTCCAGTGTCGTGGCGTGGCTCTGGAGACATAATGCAAGCTTCATGGGCTCCACAAATTCCTGGCAGGTGGCTTATCTTGGACTGTTGGTCGGGATATGGCGGCCTGCTTTTAGCCTGTCTGTCTCTGGGCATGCCAAGCGTTGTTCACATCCCTCGGCTTGAAGACCTGTGTGTGCAGATGCTGGTCCCATTCCTCAAGCGCAGGAACATCTGCGGCATTTTAGTGGGAGGTGGTTCTCCCTGTCAGGGAACAGCGCGCTAAATAAGCGCCGGCGTGGTTTGGACGATCCGCGCTCGAACCAGCCTGTGCTCCTTGCCAATTTGGTCCAAGCCTTGCGAGACCATGAGCTTACGGCTTCGTGTGATGTCATCGCTCTTCTGGAAAATGTGGGCAGTTGCCCCGCAGAAGTACGCGAGCAATACACGTCATGGATGGGCACGCCTCCGGTGCGCCTAAGTGCCTCTGATTGCGGCTGGGCCCAACGTGACCGCCTTTATTGGCTGGCCGCCGTGAACAAGGCTTGCGCCCCGCATGCGGTTCTCCTCCGCCAAATTGGCAGTGGGAGCAATTCTCTGTTGAAGATGTCCCTCGTTTGCGCTTTCGAGGTGCCAAGCCCATTCCAGCCAAGATCCATTGTGAGCAGGGATTTGCCATTGTCAATGACCCACAGGCCGTGATGCAGGGCCGGGTTCAGGCTATGTTTCCCTTCACACGTGAGTTCTTTCATCCACCTGACTCCACGTCTGGAGTCTCTGCTCAATGAGTGGCTCGTTGGCAAGAAGACTCTTGCCGTTTTCCGGCGGCTGCATACGAAGAAGCAAGCTTGCTATGGCGGGGCACTGATTGGCGCGTGCCAAGCCCTGCTGAGCGCGCCCAAATGTTAGGGGTCCCTCCGTCTGCCACTGCGGCTGTTACTGGCCTAGCTGCTCAGCGAGAGCAGAAGCGCAATAGCTTGTTGGGTAATGGTTTCCACCTCCCAAGTGTGTTGTGTGTACTGGCCTTTTTGCCTGTGCTCTGCCAGTCCAGGTTGGTTTCCATGCCCCTGCCCAGTTGAGTCTGCCATCCTCACCCGTGTGCAGCAGACTGTGTGGGAGCCAGGGCGCCTTCAGGCCATGCCATCCACATTGCAGGCAGACCATGTGGTGGCAGGTATGCAGGCCCAGCTCAGCTGTTTTGAGGTGCCTTTCCTTGTGGAAACAAGTTGGTTCTCGCTTGGCAGCTTGTGATCTCCCCCTCATGCAGGCATTTGCGGCCTTTCAGCTTTCATCTGGCCACCCTTGGAGGGAGTTGCCTCCCACTCCTATCGGCGCGCAAGAGAGGGCATTGATCTATGCAGGTGTGACAGGCCAGCGCTATAGCTCTGAGAGCGCAAAGGGCCTGGATCACTTGTTGCCGCCTGGGCTGGGTAAGCATGGCCATGTCCAGGCCTCTGCTGCATTGCCATCTCCCTTTGCGCCGTGCGCATGGCCGGACGCAGATGTGGCCTTTATGGCCCACACCATTGGCACTTGGCGTGAGCTCCTGCCCATCCTGGCGCAGCGCCAGAGACGCGTCTTTCAGACAATTGTTCGGGCTGTGCAGCCGCTCCAAACAAGGCTAGCCCAGTTGCGCTGTTGCAGCGCTCAGCGTGTTGCTGCGTCGAAGGATGCTGCAGCAATTTCGTGCTTTACGACATTGTTGCGTTGGCCGGACGTGTGGCAGGCGCAAGAGATGATCTTGGGATTCCCGATTGTGGGGGAGATCCCTTCCTCAGGCCTTTTTAGGCTCGTGCCTGCGCAGGCCGATAAACTTAAATTGACAGCTGGCTTCAGGAGGATGCCGCTACAGCTGTCCAGCGCATCATGGAAAGCAGTCCACCAAGGGACGCTGCTGAGATTCAGCAGGTGACGGAAGCCGAACAGGCAAAGGGCTTTTGTAGCCCTTGGCTTACCAAGCGTGAGCTCGATGCGCAGTATGGTATTGGGGGTTGGAGGCCCTTGGAGCGCTGTCTGATTGAGCAAGCTGATGGCAAGCGACGTGTCATTGATAATGCACGTTCCACAGGGCATAATCGCCACACGGCCATGGCTGAAACGATTCACACTGTGAATATTGAGTTCATCGCTGCAGCTGCCCGTCAAGTTTGCGATTGCCTGCCGCAGCAGGAGCGCCCTCCTGTTGAGGAGTCATCGTGGTTGCGTTTTCGCTTGGCCACGGATGACTTGCCAGATGCTTATCGAGGCCACCCAGTGAAAGACGAGCGTCTGCGCTTTTCAGTTGTGGCTGTTTTCGTGCAGGGTGCAGGTTGGCGCTTCACGATCCTGTATGGGCTGGCCTTTGGCCTTGAAAGCGCTGTTGTGGCCTATTTAGTAGGTTCCCGATGCTGGGGGTGGCTGTGGCACGACGCTGCCCCAGCAGCATGCGCGCCGCATACTTTGACGATGAGTTGGCGCTTGAGTTCCACTCTGAGTCTGCAGTCTCCCAACTGGGACTGCGCTTAGTGTTCAGGGCTTTTGGTGCTCCGCCCCAGCCGTCTAAGGGTTTTCCCCCCGCGCCTGATAGGGCTTACCTAGGTACTTCCGTTCACTTAGGGGTTTTCTTCAGGAGGGTCGGGTCTTTGTTCAGCCTAAGCACGCCACTGTTCTAAAGGTCTGTAACCGTCTTAGGCAGGCCATCTCTTCAGGCACTCTTTCCAGGGACATGGCAGGCAAGCTCCGCGGTGACCTCCTTTGGTTGTTCTCAGCAACTTCAGGCTACGGGGCTAGGTATGCCGCGCCACTCTTGGCAGAGCAACAGGCCAACGAGTCTCCGTTAGATGCTACAGCTGTTGCTACCCTGCGTGCCCTTTTGGCCATGGTGCAGTCAGCCCCTCCTCGAGAGTTCTTTGTGCATCCGGTGTCCAAGCCGGTTGACCGTGTGTACACTGACGCATCATTTGAAGACTCCCAGCTGCGCTTGGGCTGGATTGTGTTTCCAGCAGATGCATCCCGCCCCTTTGGAGGTACCTGTTTAGTCCCGCCTGAGGTTCTTCTTTCCTGGAAGCCCCGTGTTCAGCAAATCTTCCCCGGTGAAACCCTCGCTCCCCTAGTGGTTTTGCTGTTACACCCCGGTAGGTTCCTTTGGTAGGGATCTTTTATGGTTCATAGATAATGTTTCAGCTGCCTCGGCTCTGGTCAAAGGCACCAGTCGTGAAGCTGACGTCCACGAGATCGTCCACTTCTCCGCAGTGCTACGTTGCCGCTTCCAGACACCAGTCTGGTGGGAGTGGGTTGATTCGGATAGTAACCCATCGGATGGACTAAGCCGTCTTGGCTTGCAATGAATGGAGCGCTCAGCAAGGCTGGCTGCTTCAAGAGTTCTCGTACCCGCAAGGGGTTTATCGAGAGCGTGTGCAGGCAGCCCTCCTTGCGTCTGCAGAAGAAACGTTGGGGCCTCTGTGTTGAAACAGTGGGTCTGTGTACCTTCTGGATCCTTGATCCCGACGATGTTGCCTTCTGGTGCACATTGTCACGACCCAGCGTACGAGTATGCTGGTTGGAAAACAGAGTCCTACGTTCTTGCAAGGGTTCTGCCTGTAATCCTTTGCATTGATTGAAGCAGTGCTGGTTGGGTAGGGTTTCAACCAAGCTTGGATTAGAGGCGAGCCGACCGCAGCTGGACTTCTCAAGCCTTTTGACTCTGTGAGTTTCTTTTCTTCTCCCACCCATCCCTCCCTGATATACACAGCGTATTGATGGAAGTGGGTCTTTGCGAGACTTGGGTCTGTGTACCTTCTGGATCCTTGATCCCGACGATGTTGCCTTCTGGTGCACATTGTCACGACCCAGCGTACGAGTATGCCGGTTGGAAAACAGAGTCCTACGTTCTTGCAAGGGTTCTGCCTGTAATCCTGTTAGAGATTCTAAACTGTCGTGAACAGCAGGTTTATTTGTGGCACGAAAAGGCACACAGTGGGGTGGCTTTGAATGAGCTGGCGGACGGCTGGGCCAAGCTGGCTGTTAAAGGCATGACAACACCGCCGCCAGATGACATGGTAGGATAATTCCTGCAGGATGGCTTGTTGCCGTGGTTGTGGATGAGCATGCCGCCAGCACAGAAGCAATGTCAGTGGCCTTACATTGACCCGCTGACAGTTACTTTCGGGTATTATGTTGATGATGTTGATCATAATGCGCTTCATAAATGAAAGCTGCCAGTGCAACAGGAGTCACAGCATGAAGCACGTACCCAAACTATTCCTATTATTAGTATTAGTATTACTATTACTATTACTATGACTCTTATTCGTACACCCGCTGGATCCCGCTGGGCTGGCTCAAAGACTGTGTATGCTTTGTAGAAGTCAAAAGCAGCGCGCATGCGGTGACCTCCAGTCCTGACCTTGGCCGGGATGTTCCGAACTTTCTTGCAACTTTCACATCCTGTTCCTATTACGATGAAACGTGATATCTCCATGAGAACTATTGATTGTGGTTATGGGCATGGGTGTTGTCAAGAGCTTCAAGTACTACTGTCACCGCTATGTGGGTAGGAGCTAAAGAGTGGGAAGCCCGCAATGCCCTACCTATGCTCACGAAACCACGAAACCTAATCTAGCTAACAAGGGCCACATCACAAGGCAGTTCGCCTTTGTTTAGACGATTTTCTCCGAGCTGCAGAAACTGGTCGCAAAGCTTCGCGGAGGCGTCGGAAAAGTTTTCTTCAGGGTTTCTGGTCCGACAGGTTTTTGTCATGTTCTTCTTTTGGCGTGTCCGCAAGGCTTGATGAGGGTGCTATACGGTCCGAGGGACCCCAAGTTAAACTGGCATCCTGTTCGTAGTGGAGGTTCTGCAAACACTGCTAGAAAACTTTCACAGCGCATGACAGGCTTGCTGCTGTGTTTTCTCAGTGGAGACCGCTGTACCGCATCCCGGCAGAATTCAGGCGAGAATTCGGCCGGTGGGTGTCTGGAGGTAATGGGCCCCTAGTCAAAATGTGATCCTTGCCATAAGAAGCATATGGCCTCGCATCAAACAAGTGTCACATCTAATTTTGAGAAGCTCCCTGCTGCGTTGGCTTCCGTCCTTGAACCATCCCCATTCCAAAAAGCGTCATGCTGGTATCGTGTTTTTGGAAGTCTTTGACGCTTGCGTCCATGGTTTCAAAATCTTTGGATTTTCAAATGTCCCTAGAACAGGAAGAAGCTTCGACGTAAGCACAATGGACAACAGTAGAATCGCGACAGCAAGTTGCTTCGAAGTCACCACAACTCGAGGCCAGAAGATGGCGACCACATACAGCACACTTAATGTGCAGCCCTCAGACTTCGAGCACAACTTGAGGGCTTGAGGGTTTTGTGTCTACCTTGCAAGAGTCCTTTTGTGGTCCCTTACCTATCTCACAAGCTAATGTGTCGTCTATCCTAGCATAGACTTATTGAAACGGTCCTGTTTGGGATCCGAGCGAATTTCTACGCACACTTTTCTTGAATTGGGGGGGGGGGAAAGCAGCTGAAATGCAAAAACCTCACGTGGCTTGGTGCATGTGTAAGTGCCCCTTCACGGTCTTTGGAAGCTGCTTGAAGAGTATTTGCTTCAAACTCAGATGCGGCGGCCGGCCCCGATACCGTCCAGGTCCCTCCAGCACGTTGGAGGGGGTGGTGATTCGGGCTTAGGAAGTATGGGTCTCGGGATGAAGGTAAGACTTGCCAACACGGCCTCCTAGGTATGCACGAGGTGCTGCACTTCGGAGTTTCTTGATGTTTTAAAGATGGCTTGCCTCATGAGAGAAGATGAATGTAGAATCACAACTTCACAACCTCAATTCGCAGTTAGTAGATCTGGAGAGTGCACTGTCAAACACCCTGTGGTCCCTACTGAACAACCTCTATTGGGTACCTGTCAAAGCCTGGATCTGTTGTTCTAGCAACCTTAAACCTAAACTCTCAGACCGTCACTCCAAATTTACACCTTTTGACAGGATGGGTGCTGGGACAACCTCAGCACTGGCGGCGCCCTCAAGCATTCTGCAGATATAAAGTGTAGCAGGCACGCAAAAAGCCCAAGCAAGTGATACAAAGCACTATCAACCTCCACACTCCAAAGTAGCGGGCGCGTGCTTGACTGGACCCAGGCGAGGATCCCGCAGCCTATCCACTCAAGAGCAATTGCCTCAGCTGAAGTGTTGCTATTTCTGGCAGGTTTTCATGCCATGAAATTCAAGCCCAGATGTAGCTTTGTGCTGAGACTTCTCGGTATGAGTCTGCTCTTGAATGCTAAACCAGTACATGCTCTGCACCTCGCAATTAACTTCCAGCTCGCCTTGAGGTAGCGCAGCAAGCCATCCTCCCGCCGAACCATACTCCCACCAGGCCCTGAAAAAGGTTTAGGGTTGAGGACTGTTTGGGTGTACTGACAGCATTATGGCGCGAAGACTACCTGAGAGTCTAAAAGAAGAGCACTGAGCCTTATTTCGCAGCTGCTCCCCCTCACCCAATATCTCGAAAAAGGGATCTAAGCAGGGAGGTCACTAAGCAGAAGTTGAAAACCAGCCCCAAATACCGGACGCTACTCTTCCTCGGACGCCAGGGGACATAGCTCCGTGGGCCCAAGTCGGCGAACGAGCCAGGCCAAGACAGGTTTGCTTGCAGACATGTATAGTAATCGGAGCCACCACAGCAGCAGCAGCAGCAGCAGCAGCAGGTGTTGTTGTTGTTGTTGCTGCTGCTGCTGCTGCTACAGAATGAGGGAGTAGGAGGAGAAGGAGGACGATTACAGGTGGCAGCTGTATTCATCGTTGCAGTAGGAATAGTAATGGTTGTCGGAGTTGGATACTGGCAAGCATCCTGAAGATCAATGGGCGCTTGCATCTTTGAAGGGGGAGAGCCCGTGGTGCCAGGAACGACCCACGACACCCGTCACCGCAAACTTTCACCCGCGGCGAGGCTTCGCCGTCTCCCAGTTTATAAATCCATTGCCTCTGCTGAGCACTAGTCTCCTGTAGGGTGTGAGCGGCATTGGACAGCAACCTAGACCGTTGCGGTTTGAGCAGAGAACCCTCGACGCCCAGTCTGCATTTCATGAGTTCCCCTGCGCAGATGACTTTAGTAACCCTCGAAGCTCCAACAGCGGCAACTTTGACGGCCCGTGAACTCAGATCCTCGTGGGTGAGAGAGCTTCGCTATCATGCACAAATTCAAGTAAGAGAATTTCTGAGCTTCTCGAAGCTGCGGGTGTGGTTCATGTATGTTTAGGGAACATGCACGAGCCCCAAGTTCAAGAAGTTCTTGTTTAGGAGTGCGGGTAGGACTGCGTAGTAGCAGCAGTATTGAAGTGAGAGAGAGAGGTGCAGCGTTAGCATGTCTTGAAATACGGCTCTCAGTGAGAAGAAGCCTTAGAAGGCATTTTGGGTGCTGGAGACCCTTAGGTCAGCTCCCAGTGCCTCGCAACCTGGCCGATGTCGGGGCCCTGGCTTCGGTGTCTAAGGTGTTGAGGGAATTCAAGGAAGGGTCTGAGGATTCAAAGCTCTAAGGTGAGTAGGGTTTAGGGGTTTGGTGCTTTGGTCCAAAATTTGCTCCCTGCTCAGGGCAGCAACCGCAGCAAGAGCGTTGCAGCCGGACCCGGCAGGCGACCGGTTCGTAGAAGCGAGCGAAGTTGCGATAAAGACGTAGAGAGAGGTATGCACGAGGTCTAAGGGTTCAGGGTTTCTCTCTGGCAGTTTTTAAGCCTCTGAAGGGTCTGTGGTCTGGGATGTTTTTTTGAGGAATAGCATGCGAGCTTGGGCAGCTTGAAGTCCTGAACATCCTGGCAGGCTGACATCGCACCGTGAAGGCCAAAGTCTGAGGGCAATTTGCAATCCTTGGATCCCTGTGAGCGGCATCTGTGGCAGGAGTGAACTCCGCTGGTAGCTCCGGATCCACAACCTGTGACAAGTGTGACGGAAAACACCCAACAGACAGGCAAGGAATAGGGAAAGAGCTTGCGCGGAGGGATGCGGTACAATTAGGATCCGAAAAGGCAGAATCTCTGTAGGCCGCACCACCCTGTCCTCATGACAAGACTAAGAGGGATCTGCAATAAACTCCAAGTGCTGTGCAGGTGTCCTCATTTCCAGAAAGAGAGAGAAAAGCACAAGGATGCTTGGGCCGGGGCTCCAAGCCTATGTTCCGGATGAATCTGCGGAAGCAAGTGGACAGGTTCTTTGCCGCCTCGATCTCCCGTGTAAATTTCAGGTTGTTGCACACATACATGAGGTCAACTACGGCTGTAAGAACAACCCACATCAGATGGGCGGCAATCCCGGTAACTTCGTCTTGAGGCCCGGCCGTGAGCACGAAATCCGTAG